GGTTGGCCTTGAGCTTACTACGCAGCATAGGCTGGAGTTGTAGTGATCCTCTTGCCTCAGCCCCCTGGGTGCTGAGATTGTAGGCATGCACTACCATGCCCAGCCAGAGCAAGTATTTGTAAAAATATTCCTTAAATCTCCCACTTCTAGAATGTAATTTTCTAATAACAGAGGCATATTTTTCTCTTATCTTTGTATTTGTAATACTTGGAAAGTAACTGGTATACATAGATTCTCAAGACTAATTTTTAAAATAACTAGGCATTTAGCTTTTGAGAACAATAATAAGAAAAATAGGCTAACCTCAGGCCTGATCAGGGTTCACACATGCATGTGAAATCCTACTGGCTGTGTCGGGTGCGCTTTCCACCGTGGCCTACTCACCTTTTGCTTTGTAGCACTGTCAGCCTGGGGCCGTGCTTGGACTAAAGTGAGTTACTGACCTGTGTGTTGTTAAGTGTTTACTCTTCAGTTGACAAGGAAATAAGTAGAAAAATGGAAGAAATACATATTTAAGTAATTCAATTTCATTTATATATAATTTTTTTCTTTTGGTCTTGGGGTGTCTTCATGGTCTGGAGGGATTGAAATAGTACATAAAAATAGTACATCTTATAAAATTGATCTTCTGTGATATTCATGAACTATAGACTGATTGTAGATTTTTAACAAAATACATTTTTTTCTAATCCAGGGCTAAGCCATGAGGTTGAGGAAGATTTTACGGGTAAGTTCCCCAAATTTATCTATATGGGTGTGCTCAAACACACACGCACGCACGCACCCAAAGAAAACTCAGCAGTTGTTTTATCTTTCATAGGTATATTTTCATGTTATAAAATAAAGTGTGATGTTTTCTGTTTTCTATATAAACAAATACATTGATTTGAGAGTATACTCCTTCTGGTTTCTGCTGTTTCTCCTTGTTTCTTTCTCCTCATTCTTTTTTTTTTTTCTTTTCCAAGTTTTATTGATAAACATATAGCAATGAGACAGTTTCAAATCAAATCGAAAGTACAGTTTCAACAAATAATACACTGCATATATTCTTCTTAGTGGTTAATTGCTGTATCTCCTCATTCTTTTCATCTGTCTACTTTCCTTCTTTTCTAAAAATTATGAAAATAAAAATCCTGGCATCCTGTCCACTTTTCTTTCTTCATTTAGGCTCTCCTTCTGACGTGCAGCCTTTAGCTATATTCTAAGCAGACGGTATTTCCTAGGCGTGTTTACGTCAGTGGCTGATGTCAGCTGACCTGACCTATGGTTGCTGCCTGGCTGTGCTGCGGCCCTCACAGCGGGAGGCGGGAGGCGGGAGGCGGGAGGCGGGAGGCGGGAGGCGTGATGGGAAGCCTTGTGAAGTCAAGGACCGAGCTTTGCTCCGGAACTGAATCCACTTGACTAACACATTTTAAAGTTGCTAATTTGTTTCTGGGGTTCTCAAGAGGAACAGATACATTTTGTTTCTAAAACATAAACCATTTAATTCACTAACCAGTTTAGACTATATGAGTATAATAAATAGATTCTTTACATTGATTTAAGTTTTGTGAAAGGAAAAAAAATCAAAAAGGTTTTTAATAAATTATCAAAGATTCACAGATGCTTTATTCATTAATTCCATATTCACTAGAGACTAGTAGTCCTGAAGCTGTTCTTGGATTCTCAAGCTCCATATTTTTCCACTGAATTTTACTTCTAATCCCTCAAATGCCAACTAAGAAATGGTAAAAGGAGAGTAAATTAAATTTTATTTTGTTGGTTTTCCAAGTGGTAATTTGAATATGCCTGGCTCCCACCCCATGATTTTAATTTTGTGTTGATTAGTTGTTATAGCTGTATTTGAGATTATATGAAAACTAGCAAAATGTACGATATTACTTTTTCCCTTAATAACTTATCTTGAACTCAGAATCTAAACAAATTAAATTGAGTTTAACATCATATATGGCATCAATCTTTTGATAATATATGGGCAAGTGTTCATTTTTCCCACCTATAATTGGTTTCATGTAAAAGATCAGGATTATTTGATTGAGAAAGATTGGTTTTAAAACAGAATTTTATAAGTAAGATTATACAACTGTAATTTATCTTCTTTTCAGTGCGAGTTGCTGAGAATGTGGGAAAAATAGAAATTTCCCTTAAGAAAAAGGAAAATACTTCATGGAAATGTCTTGGTGTTCCCCTGGAGAAACATAATTTACTTATTTCAAAGAAAGATACAGGTATGCTGTGCCGTTACCTTCCGTGTTGCATGTCTATTCCTAAAGTTGCATAGTGGCAGAATTCTTTCTGTGTTTGGAAGGATTCTTTGTTACAAGCTTAAAAAATTCTTTTGTTTTCTTCTGGGAAGTTTGAAATGAATTATTGTATTTGTTGTTGTTGTTGCTTGTTTCTTTTTGTTTCGAAGAGATAAAATTTTAGATTCTCCTGTCAGTGTTTAGGTGCAAAAAGCCTTCAGGTGGTGCTACTTTGCGTGAAGAGGCCCACCGTGCCTGGACTGTGGTTCAGTCATTCGCCCATCACACTCCTCTGGGGACTTTTTATTAAAGGTGGACAAACGAGTTTGTGGTTATTCTTCATGCGCACATCTTAAAGACACGTTTTAGTATTTTTCTGCTCAAGCAAGCCAGTTTTCAGTTTACTCCTAGTGTGAAAGTACTCATTTCCTTTTTTAAAAGCTCTTAATCATACTTACGCATGGCATATGTAGTATAAGTACTCTATTTGATAGAGTTCACAAACCTGGTAGGCTTTCATTCTTGTTCCAAATGCTTTGGAACTTCCCATTGAGCTGCTTGCTATCAGGTGGGGTTTTTTTTTTTTATGCTTCATGCTATGTCCTTATCCTTTCTGCCAATGTTTCATTTTTGTTTTCTAGACATTTTTATATTGAATTTTCATAGCCAGACATGTCATTATTTTGTCTTTTTCCCTACCGTTTTTTAAAACCTTTCTTTGCCTGTGAGTTATAGCTCTTTAATTTACTCTTCAATTTAATTTCTGACTCTCTTAATTTTTGTACAGTTATTTTAGTATCTTTTTGTTTTTGTTGTTGTTGTTTAGCTTCTCTTATTTCATTAAGGATTATTGGGATAGGGAGATAGCTCGGTGGTCTAACTAAGCACCTCCCTGGCAAGAACCAAGTTCAATCCCCAATGTCGCATGTGGTGCAGGCTCCGAAAGCAGGCGTGGTGGTGCATGCCTGTAATCTCAGTGGTAGGGAGACTGAGACAGGAGGATCACTAGGAGTCTGAGGTATGAAATGAGACCCTGTACCAAATAAATAAATAAATAAATATTAAAAGAAATAATTTATATTTTTTAAAGCTTCCTTTTCTCAAATGCACTCCATGTGCCCCAGTTTTGTTTGTTGCATTTTACTCTTTCATGTTAGGTGCTTTCTTTGAGGGCATGCTAGTCCTTAATGATCTTAGAGTTCAGCTGGTTGGAAACTCTGCATGTGGCGTGGCTTTTGGCAGTGATAGTTGCTATACAACTGGATTATTTCTTTGGAAACATGTGATTCCAGTACTTTGTCAAACTGCATAGTGAAAAATCTTGCACCCAGCCTTTTGAAAGCTTTGTGGGAAAGAAGGCTGAGATAGCCATAGTTTCCTTTTTTAAATTTAAAAGAGTATATTAGTTTGTTAGGGAATTATAACAAACTGCTGTTGACTGAGTGGCTTACAATGTAAATTTGTTTTCTTTATGGTGCCAGAGTCTACAAGTCCAACATCAAGATGCTAGGAAGATTGGTCTCTTCTGAAGCCTCTGTCCTTGGTCTGCATAAATGGCTGTCTTTCTCAGTGTTTACATGGTCTTCCTCTGTGTCCTCAAAGAACCAGTATTATTGGATTAGGGCACTGTAGTGATTTTATTTAATTACCTTTCAAAGGACCCTATCTCCAAGTACAGTCACATTCTGGGGTACTAGGTATCGTAACTTCAACTTAAGAAGGGGGCTCAGTGTGTAGTACATGTCCCACCCAGTGACTCCACGTCTGTCTTTCTATTGGATGGCACTTGGCAACAATATTCCCCATAGCTTTTTATCATACGTAGGAAACAAGACCAGAGCTGCCTGAGGTGGATGAGGATGATGGGCTAAGTGTTTCTGAAAGGAGGGGCACTATTTTGAGGGCAGGAATGACCATGTGTCTTTCACTGTAATAAATTTTTAGAAACTTAAGCATTTACCGTTTATTTCAATCACATCTCATAGCATTGTTTTACATTCAAATTGAGTGGTACAAAGTTGTGTATTTTTTAAATTTGTATTTATTTATTTATGCAATACAGGGTCTTGCTATGCAGCTTGGACTCGTAGTGATCCTCCTGTCTCAGCCTCCCCAGCTCTGGGATTATAGGTGTGGGCCACTATGCCCGGTTTTGAGGCCTGCATGGCATACTTGGCGGCGGGGCCTGCACAGCATGTGGTACTGGGGATCAAACTCAGGTCCTTGTGCTTGCCAGGCAGGCACTTAGACCGCTGAGCTATCTTCCCATGCCCAGAGTTGCTTGTATTTCATTTGTTACTTAATAAAATGACAGTTTCATGTTATTTGACCTGTACTTTCATCTGGGCTGCTTAGCTGTTGACACTGAGTGCACACGTGGACACAGACGCAGACCCCCTCCGCCCCCACATGCACGATGGAGTACTGCCTGTACTTGTCACTGTGCTTTGCACGCTGTAATCAGTGTGTGAGTCAGGCTTTCTGGAGGGCATGTGCTCCTGTGGACAAGCTGCTTGTCTTCGTACTGAACAGATCTTTTTTGCAGATATGCAAGGAATAGCTTCCCTCTCTCCGCAGCTCTTGTCTGTGCTGCCCCGTCTTTGCTACCTTCAGTAAATGTTCATAGTTAACTGGAAATAAACAGATAGCCATGAACAAAAATCCATGAATGAACAAATGTGTGGATAGCAGAGAAAAGTTTCAGTGAGCTTTGCTTTTTCCTCAGATTGTCTGCTCTTTGAGGCATAAAGTTGTTGCTTCCATGGCAACTGTAAGGTGCTTCAATATCTGCTGTCATATTCAACTCTGAATTTGAAATCTGAAGAAGCATAAAGTAGTTGAAGCAATAATTGAATAAGAAATTCTTTATGATACTAAAAGGTAAACGTTTAGAAACTTTGAACTCAAGGAATTCCAGCACTTCAGTTCACAAAATTGGCTCAATTATTAGTTCTAGAACATGAGGGAAAGGTAATAAGCATGTAAGTGTTCAAATTTAGTGGCAATCTTGCTAAACAGTTTTGTTGTCTTAAAGGCTTTTTTGAATCTCATCCTTGAGAAAGACCTTCCTTTCTTTTAATTTAAGGCTGATCTTTAACGCTCCAAAATCCTGTTTGAAAGAATAATTCTGTTTGTATCAGTGTACTTGGAGTAGTAAAACATCTTACTACACTTTAGGAATATTTTTAACAATGTTAGCTAAAAAGGAATCAGTGGTTTTTTACCAACTAAAAAAATACTGATTTAAAAATCATACTTCAGTCTTTGAGCATTCTGGTTCATCATGTCTTACAGCTTTAATATTTGAAGCTAGGTTGTCAATATATTTGTGTGTGCAAGTGTGGTTTGCTTTGTTTGAGAGGAATAAAACTATACTACTAGAAATAAATGAAAGTATTAATGGAAAGGATGAATAGTTAAAAACAAAATATAGCCCCAATGTGTATCCCATCTACTTGAGAGAGTGAGGCATGATTGCAAGTTCTAGGCCAGCCAGGGCAACTTAGAGAGACTGTCTTAAAATTAAAGAACAAAATAAGAAATCAAAATATTGTTATTGGTATGATCAGATATGCATTATCTAATACTTTTAAAAGTATACAGTACCTGAAACTTTATTCCTTCGGTATAGGAAAGTATGAAGTTGACTTACTTTGTCATTCAAAATGTCATCAACATTTTTAGCTGTATCAAAAATAATGTTCGGTAGCATCTTCCTTGTCACCAAGCTCACAGCCCTGTAAAGTCACTGTCTTAGAAATAGCCAGCCAAAGTGTGCTGACTCTTCCCTGCTAAGTTGCCCTGGCTGGCCTAGAATGTCTTCCCTACTACATAACTGTAGGTTGCATATTTTTTTCTCTGTGTGGATTTGTCTAGGTATTTATAATTTTGAATATATTATTTACTCTTGTATTGGTCAGGATTTTACTTAGAGGAACAGATATAAGGAACAAGATACACAATGTAAAAAGAATTACAAGATTGGCTTACGACAGACAGCCATAGAGTCAGATGGGGGAGTATGCAGAGGGGTCTGCACACCCCAGACTGAAGAATTCAGTCCCAAGGTCTGAAGCTTACTGCTGGACTCTGCGCAAGTCTCTCTTTTATAGAATACTTCTTTTATCTACTTGGCTGTATCACTTTTTTTTTTTTTTTTTCATTTATGTATTTGGTACAGGGTCTCACTACGCGGCTTAGACTCATAGTAATCCTCCTGTTTTCAGCCTGCCCTGTGTTGGGATTATAGGCTTGTGCCACCATGCCCAGACTCAGTCACTGGCTCAGCATGCCCTGGGGGTGGGGCCTGCGTGGCATGGGGGACCAGGGATTGAACTCCTGTCCCTGCACTTGCCAAAGCAGGTGCTTAGCCCTGCTGAGCTATCTCTCTGGCCCGCAAGTCTCTATTTGTCAGCTAATGGGTCTGCGAGGGAAGACTGAAGAGTCTGTGATGGACGCTGAAGAGTTTTCAACGGATGACGAAGGATCCAAGCCAGAGGCTGAAGAGTCTGGGCTGCAAGCCAGGGGATGAAGTTCAAGCTGAATTCGAAGACTGAAGTTTCTCTGAGAAACTACTTCCTCAGCACCTTTGTATGATGTCTTTGTGTTGAGTCACTCTGGGGACTGAACCAGTTGTGCCCCAGGGCAGGACCCCTGGGCTACGAGTCATCCAGCCAAGTTGACACCATGTATCAACCACTACAACTCTATTTGAGTTGTAACCTTCCTGTAGGTTGCATTTTTAAGTGTAATCCCATTAGTTGGAAGTCCTGCATTGACTGGGAAAGTTCTTGTAAGAATCAGTGAGGAAGGTAGATTGTGAATTAGGAGATAATTAAATGTCTGAAAGTAGTAAAAAGTGCTGTATAAAAAATATGATTGATCAGAACTGTGAACCCGGCATGTAGTACAAGCCTATAATTCCAGTACTAAGGAGGCTGGGCCAGGGGGCTTGGATTTTGAGGTCAGCCTGGGCTGCATAAGGGAGATTAAGGCCAGCCTGCATTACATAACTGCATAGGGAGACCCTGTCTCAAAAAAAAAAAACAAGGGAAAACAGAACCATGAGCGTGGGGATATTGAAGAAGCGAGGTCTCTGTGGGGAGTCTTGAATGAGTCAGCTGAATTTTTAGTGACTTCTTGCTGTGTCTTACATCTTCTTGAGCTGCCCTGGGTGAACTTCTCAACTTGTATTTCTAGTATGGAAAATAAGGTGATTAAGGAATTTAAAGCTATTAGGAGCCTGGCACGAGATCTCACCCCTGTGATCCCAGCGCTCTAGAAGACTAAGGAAGGAGAGCCAAACTTGGATTCCTGCCTGGGCAATGTAGCCAAAGCCTGTTGTCAGATTGTTAAATAAATAAGTGAAAAAATGAATGAATGACTGGGATGCAACTCATTGTGAAGGCCTTGGATTCAGTCCCCAGTGCTACAAGCAAGAGGGGGCTGAAGGAGAGAGGAGGAGAGGGAGGAGAAAAGGAAGAGAAGGAAGGGAAGGGGAGAGGGAGGCAGGAGAGAAGTACCCAGAGGAAAGGTAGTGTGGATGCTTAGAGCTATTTTCTCCCATGTTGAAGATTTGCCCTGTTTTCTGTTTTAGCTGTGTGAAATTCTGTTTTTTGAAAGGAAAGTCTAGTTTCTTTTCAACATGAGGAAAAAAATAGATGCCGGTTATCACATCTTCAGTGCTTAGTGCTGCCCTGATTATCACATGATTGTGTGTGTTTTAGTGAAGAAGTCAGCCTTTGGGGACAGAAATATTTTTGTCATATATTTTTGATGTAAAATATTACTTTAGCTGGGTTGGCGGTGTGTTCCTGTAACCCCAGCATTTGGAAAGCTGAGGCAGGAGGAAGATCTCCATGTTTAAGGCTAGCTGGGCTGTAGAATGAGATCTTGCCCAAATTTTAAAAAAAATACTGTTTTCAGTTTCTCATTTTATTCCTTAATTCTGCTTCCTTGGTGGCGTTGAGGCTACAATGGCGAGGGCACCTACTTTGTGCCACTCTTTCTTCACATGCTGCGGTTCCTAGCTATCTGCACTGTCTTGCTCCGCGGTAAAATTTCATTATGCTTATTGGTAACACTTTAGGTAGACATAATGATTGCATTCATCGTAGGGGACTTGTACCTATAGATGATGTAATACAATTCTTTTTTCTCTCTATTCTCCTACCCTCCTTCCACGCCACTCTACTCCCTATTTACAAAAGCTTTGTTTTTGTGTTTTTCTGCTTTTCTCATCCTTTTTCCTTTCCTTCCTTTCCTCTGCCCCCCCCCCCAGTTCCCCTTCCCATTTGGACTTTTCTTCTTATTTCACACTATTTAGTACAAGTTTTGGTCCTTATTTACACATTCAGTTCCTCACACCAGAGAAACAATATGGTATTTACACATGTGTGTCCGAATTATTTCACTTAAGAGGATGGCCTCAACCAGGAGGATCGTTGGGAGTTCAAGACCAGCCTCAGCTGCAAAGTGAGCTCAAGGCCAGCCTGAACTGCATAGCAAGACCCTGTCTCTAAAGGGCAGAAGAATATGGCCTCAAGGTGCATCAATTAGCTGGAAACGTTTCATGCTTACCCTTCATGGCAGAGTACTATGTGGGATTGAGGCCATTTAGTAAGCAAAAGCTGAATATGTGCCATGTGGCCTATTACTTTGTATTAATGTACATATCAATAAAATAACTATGCATTGCTTTCTAGGTTTGTACTACAGAAAGTGCCAGCTAGTCTCTAAGGAGGACGTCACTCATGATACGAAGCTGTTTGGCTTGATGCTGCCGGCAAGCACTCATCTCCAGGTGCCAGTTGGGCAGCACGTTTACCTCAAGGTAACTATCACAGGTAAGGCCATCGCAGGCTTTGGGGGAGCACTGCCCTCCTTTACAAGCAGCTCCAAGCAGTGCCAGTCTGTTTTGGGCACAGTCACCTCATCAGTGCTCGTGGGCAGCTGGATTCAGTGTGAACCAGAGTGTTTGTGGATGCAGTGTCTCCGACATGCAGGAACTTGGCCGTGCCCCATTATCACATGGAATAAGGAAATGGCCCTGGTCAGAGAGAACATTCCACCAGCACCGTAATCTATTACTGGCAAAACCCTACGGAAAGAGGGACAGTACATAATGGTCCTCCAAAGACTACTGCTCAAAACGCATAGTAGTTTCTCTTGCTAGCTACTTATGGTTTCATCACTTATGAAATTGAATTTTTAAATTTCAAAACAAGTGAATGATTATGAATTAGTTCTTACATCTGCCACCAGTATAAGAAGCTCTAAAGATAGAGGGTCAGGGAGATAGCTCAGTAGAATAAGCGCCTGCCTGGGCAAGCACAGGGTCCTGAGTTCAATCCCCAGTACAGCAAAAGAAAAAAAAATTTTGTGTGTGTGTGTGTGTGTGTGTGTGTGTATACACATTCTTGTGTGTTCTTTTACCTTCAGTTTCATCCCAAAATTACCCTACTTATTTATAAGCTTTACCCATCTTCTTGACATCCAATATTTTCTTGGCCTTTTGAAGTTGCAGAAGGTAAATTCTGATGCTAATCATAGTTAAGCCAATTAAGCATAACTGATCAGTAGCTAGGTTTTAGTAGGGATAGTATATTATAATGGTAAGATTTTCTCTTTACTGTCACTAATTCCAGATTACCACTGAAGAGCTGATACCTTCCAGTGTATTTATTGCCAGTGTATTTTAACTTACATATGAATTATATCTATATCTATCTATCTATATATATATATGTATATATATATATATTAAAGGCAGTGTATTAAATATTGGTCTTTAAAATGTGTGGTGACTTGTCTGTGGACGTTGTCTAGCCTAAACTATAGCATGAATTCATATTTTACCTTTTAGAAAATAATGTGTTCTTTGAAGTAGTTAGATTAATATTTTTATTCACTTACCAAAGTCATACATCAGAACATTAAAATATATAAAATGAAAAGTAAAATCCTTCCTTTTCTCTCTGAAAATGATCTCATGACCTCCAGTAACTACTGTTAAATATTTGGTGTATAATTTAAATTATTATGTAAATACCTTCTTATACTCCCTGGGAAATTTTTTATTTTATTTTTGTGTTGGCACTTTACAAAGTTTATTTGCAAATGGAATAGATGAATTTGTTAATGTATGACTTTATGAAGACCATACTTAATAAAATTAGGTTGTCCATATTGTGGTTTAAATACTGATTTGATAAAACTATTTCAGGGTTTGTAAGCTTAAGACAATGCAGATCATATGCTAGTTGATATAGAACATATAGTTAGTATTATATGCTTATTAGGGTTAAAGGTTGATAGCATAAAATGTGTATGTTTCATCTTTAAGAGCTCAAGTTTGTAAAATTTGTCTTTGTTCTTAATTTTTCTAGGTACAGAAATAGTAAAGCCGTACACGCCTGTATCGCATTCCTTACTCTCGGAATTCAGAGAACCAGTTCTTCCCAACAACAAGTACATCTACTTTTTGATCAAAATCTATCCTGCGGGCCTCCTCACCCCAAAACTTGATCACCTTCAGATTGGTTAGTGATTTTGCACTTTGTGAACCTCATTTGTGCTCTAGGTTGAGTCACATGCCCTCTACTTGGCTCCGTTGGGGAGTCTGTTAAATACCTTAAACTCAGCATGTCTCAGAGTCGTCTGCTCATTGTCCTCTGCTGCACGTCCCCCATCATTGTCGTGTGCCCCTAACCTCATCTTGAGACTGGGTCATCCTTGCGTCATCTCATTTTCTCTCTCCCAATTCAGCCAGCCACGGGGTTCTGTGGAGTCAGCCTCCCAGGGAATTTTTACTCATTCTTTCCTATCCCTTTTGCCATCCTCTAAAATTAAGCCATTATCCCCCCGTCATGACCACTAATGTTTGAGTTTTAGCTGATCTTTTTCTCTTCCTAGTCACTTGTGTTTTCTAAGAATTTCTCCATTTTGCCCTGAGAACAGATTTTATCATGTTCCTCCACATCTTTGGAATCCTCTATAGCTCCCTGTTACCTGTACTGATTAAGTCTTCTAATGGCCTACAAAGACGTGATGATTTCTCCAGTTTCATCTCTTGCTGTGCAGAAATACTGCTCCTTAACTAACACAGCTGCAAATGAGCTTTGCTAGTTTGTGGAGTGCATACATCGGTAACCAGGTTTCTGACCCAAGATGCCCATTCACCCTTTGTCTCTCAGGCACCACTTTTTAAAGACTCAAAGGAGATCTCAACTCCCTTGAAACCTCTCTATTAGACTCTGAAACACCCAGTAACTATTTATAGCTCCAGGGGGAAGCACATTTCTTCTTATCAGATTTGAGTTTAAGGGCAGAAAGTATCTTGTATTTGTATTCCACATCTGGCCTAACAATAGGCATACACTAGGCTATCAGGAGATATGAATTCCTGGACAGATTGATTAGTGTCCATCATAATATGAGGCTGAAGAAACTACACTTTGAATAAAAATAAATTCAAGTTCTCAGAGGCAAAAAAAAAAAAAAAAAAAAAGGAGATGTACTTTGAAAGGCTGAATAAATAAAAGAATTATAATGAGATGTGTTAACATTTTAAAAGCCTTTTTCTTGTTTCTAATTGTTTATCCTCTAATAGCATTTCTCTGTGGCCTTTCACTGTTGTTTACCTACTTGCAAAGGTGTTCTAAGGCGCCATCAGCAGTATACTGGGGTAACAGTGAAGGGTATCACTAAAATTTGGAAGCAGAGAAACTAATGCTACTTTCTGAAAGTTAAACTTGGGAAATGTATCCATAGCAGATATTAGTTGTCAGCACTTACAGAAACTAAAATGCTATATATAAATCTGAACTTGAAGTAGTTCAAAATACACACAAATGGAAGGGCTAATCACTTTATGAAGGAAAAACTGACACATGATTATAATATAGTAGGTGAGAACTTAATGATCAGTTTGTAACTTGTTTGTACAGATTTATGGGCAGCAGAGTGGACATTTAGTCTCCAGAGCATAAAATGCAGTGTTACTTCAGCTTTGTGCAGGGACTAGAGACATGTCACAAACACCTGTGTCCCTTGGAGTAGTATATTACATGAGGCCGTATCTTGACCAAGATGAATTCCTCTATAAAATTGTTCATCTTTTGTTTTCATCTTGTGTTCACCTGCAACCTTTATGTTATTAATTTAGTTTTTTATTTATTCTTATAGTGGAGATGAGATCTCTGTCTGGGACACTTAGTGTTTAGGGCACTAGATTTGTGTGCTAAGTTCAGCATACCAGATGCCACTTACAAATCATGCGTTGCCGTTTTTGTCCTGCATACTTTGTCACAGATACTCTTGTGAAGTTGATTGGAATCAGTTATCCTGACTGAATCTAATCAATTTTATGCCCTTGGAAGGATGGAGCTGCAGGTAAAAGTTACCAAGTTATTAATCAATCTGTGAAACTTCTCTGGCATTTTCTAAGGGCATGCTCATCTTATGGTCCCTTTCAAACAGTAACAAGGAGTTTGTTATTTTCCAATACTTAGTTCATCACTTACTGCACAGATTTTACTATCCTTCAGTGGAAAGCAATTCTAATGAACCAGGCATTTTAAAATAAACCAGAATATTTGAAATCATTTAAAAATAAAGACTGTAGGGCCAGCAAGATAGCTCA